ATAAATCTCTTACCTGATGAGGCAATATAGGAAGCAGGATTGAGGTCTTGCCATTCAAAAGGATAGACCAGCACAAGGCAGCTGCAGAGGCAGACAAGGACATGCAATTTGGACGGCACCATCTTGGTGGCCTAGTGGCGGTTGCAGCTTACTGTTCTTCCAAGCGGATCTGAGAGAAAAGAGCAAAGAAACGTGCAAGAGGACTGACGAAGGCTGACAGGGAGAATGAGGTGCTAATAACAGGACTTTATATGTTATAAAGGAAAGAGATATGGGGCGGGGGGTGGGGGGCATGGAACATGCGTGTTCCTGGGCTGGGTTTTAGATGGGTATAGGGCAGGGAGACACATTAGTAATGCTGAGTTGCAGATGGACTCCAAGGTGGTTATATGTTGCAGCAGGCACTAGTGTGGGTATACAGAATAGCATGACACTATGGTAGTACATAGCAATCGCATATGATAGCCCTGATAATACCCATGCGTGTCAAAGCTGGCATGCGGTAAACATCCACACTGTTTTCGTTATAATTATAAAGTGATTATATCGCCACTGCTGTTGGTGATGAGGATGATGAAGACACACAATCTTTGTAATCCTGGTATACTACCAGCTTCCTAAAGGCAGAGGTCAGATCTTGCTTGTTATCCCCAGTGCCTAACAGAGGATCTGCTATCAAACTGAAGTTCAGTAAATGTCTGCTGAATGGCTGGCTGAAGCAATTTGATTGCCAAGCTCCAGGCTATCTACAATTAGGTGCTATAGCTAACACAGTCCCCGGAAATCACTCTCAGGTGCGTGTGCATTCCATTTCCCTTGAAGTTTTCTCCCTCTGATTTTCTGCTGTGATGGGACACTTCTAAGCCACTGGCATCTCTAACTTGGATGATGACAAGAACCTCTTACCTGGCTTCCAGGATTTTTCCCCATGCCCTTATCTATTCCTAAGGCAGCAGCCCAGGGCCATTCCCGATTCAGCCATAGAATCCCTGCCCTTCCCATTGGAAGGAAGCCCGGATGGAATTCCTACCCATTGCACATCATGCACTGTCACCACGCGCCTGTCCATGGAGGCTTGCAGGTGGCCAGGAGGCTGCATTTCAGCAGAGGGTCAGCAGAGGCTTGAGTGGAGCTTTCCAGGATTAAGAAAGATTAGGGAGAAAGGCCTGAGGATCTACTTTGGAAAATCAGCCGATGCAATGCTATGGTTCACCATGGATATGGTTGTCTCTTAGGATGGGGCTGGCTCAGGCCTGGACAGCATCTCTTTCCACTGTGCCTGGGGTCACTGGGCTGACTGGACCGCAGCTCACCGGAGCAACACAGAATAAGAGATGCAACTGTACCACCTCCATCTTTCACTTCCATGGATGAAGGAAGAAGCAATGGAATACAGAAAGCTCTGCGAACGGCCTCAGGCCTCCCACCTTTGACTCCAAGGGATAGACATGCTCCACGGGACCCCAGTGCTTTGCTTCAGTTGCCCAGGGCCACAAAGTGCAGTGCATAGTTCCCCACCACTGCCCCTGTCTGGTGTGTTGGGATTGAAGTTATGCTCAACTCTTGCTAAACTGTACCCGCAAAAGTGGGCAGCCCTCATGGAAGGGCCAGGAAAGAAGTCTTCCCTGGACTTGACTCCCCGTGGATTTCACCAGGGAAGGCTTATCCCTATGGAGGGGCACAGTCAGGCGGACAAGCACAGTCAGGCCGCAGGCTCCCTCCTCTTAGCTCTCAGAGCAATCTGTGAAAGACGCTGTTCTAGCCAGTTAGGGTTTCTCTTGTACTCTTTAGTTGACAAAACTGCTTAGTCAAAGCCAGGGAACTTCTGGGGGACTGGTCTCCCTGGGGGCAGGGACGATTCTCATTTGTCTTTGTATTTCTATTGGTGAGCAAAGCCCCTGGTGGAGTGGGTTCTGGCTCCTGATTACCCTGTAGGACAGAGTAGAACTGCCCCACAGGGTGTCCAAGACTGTACATCTTGACGGAAGTAGACAGCCACATCTTTCCCCACTGAGACACCAGTGGGTGGGAACCACCCTCCTTTCAGTTAGTAGTGGAGTGCTTAACCACTGTACCACCAGAGCTCTGGATACAAATATGAGCATCCATGGGTTACCATCCTGGCATCACCCATCGCTACGGGTAAGTACTGCTGCGGTTAGGTGCCATCGAGCCCCGGTAACTCAGACCCACCCTGTGTCCAACACTGCCTGGTCCTGTGCCACCCTCACAATGAGTGTTATGTCTGAGCCCATGGCTGCCCGCCGGGTCAGTCCATCTCATTGAGGGTCATCCCTTCATTCACTGACCTTCTCCTTGACCGGGGACTGATTTCTCCGGATAACATGTCCTATGTACCTAAGGCCAAGCCTCCCTTCCTCCCCTCTAAGGAGCATTCGGGCTGCACTTCTTTTCCAAGGGAGCTAAGTAGTTGTGCAATATGCATTCACAAAGTGAAAGCAAAGCCATAAACCAACCTCGTGGTAGGGACAGGAAGCCCTCGTCTTTGCTAACTGAAATCACTCCTTGGCCATCCTCCCCTTGCTCCACTGACGCTGTGGTGAAATCGATTTCTAGGGTTTTCTTAAGGGCTCCAAGTTTCCCGAGAAATTGTCATTGCTATTGCCCCTGCACTTCTTGGTTCACTTTGTGCTCACTGACCTTCTGTCTGTCCACAGGCTATTAGTGCCCCTGCACTGCCCAGGCCCCTCCCAGTGGACTCCTGCAGTGACCTGCCTTGGTTACAGTGTAACCTTAAAATTACTACACCCTTGACTTCTGGCCCTACTTTGCAAGTTGTAAATTCCCGACAGTAAGCAAGCTGCTGAGAGGCTGTGGTGGTCTGTTGCCATCCAGCAAGCTCAGACACACAGTGGACTTCTGTGGAACAGAGTGAAATGTGGCCACCTCCTGCACCATCTTTGGGATCGGTGGCTCCTCAGAGTCGTGTTGCCACCACTGTGTGGTTCTAGTGAGTGCCTTCCAACCTGTGGAGCTCCTCTCCCAGCTTCTTCTTAGAAAGTATTGTGTTGTGATCCGAGCATTTGCATTGGCTAAATTCTAGAGGTAGATGGCCAGGCCTTTCTTCCTAGTCTCTCTCCGTCTGGCAGCTTTACTCCAATGGCTTATCATGTGTGACCCTGCCAGTAGCTGGAATACTGGTGGCATAGCTTCCAACATCAGAGCAACACAAAGTCAACATGGTAAGAAAAAGGTGTATTCATTAATCAAAAAAACCATTTTTTTTCAATTTCTAACCAAGGACTTCTGTTAAAACATCATTTTAACACCCTGAAGTTTATTCCCAAAGAAAGTGTTGTGGGCCACTGGAGAGAGATGTGAGAGATGTTTTAGAGACCAGAGGACTTTGCAATGTTCCCCAAACCAGATCCTCAAAACTGTCATCCATTCTGGCTCACACAGCAACAAATGCCTGGCAGTTTCAGACAGAAGGAAGTCAGTTGTTCTCTACTGCCAAGCTCTGCTAAGGACAACAGCCATCAAAGTCAGTGTTAAATTATTATAAGAGGTCAAACTTCTGCGTTTGGAGGAGAGGGACAGACAACGCTCACAGAGGAAACCTCACAGCAAGCACTTCTGTTCCTGGAAGACCACCTCTTCTCAGGTGTTCAGTTCCACTCCTAGCGACCCCACAGGACAGAGTGGAAGGGTCGCTGTGGGCTTCTGAGGCTGTAAATATTTACAGGAACAGAAAACCTCATCTAGCTCCTGTAGAACTTCTCAGGGTCTTGAACTGCCAACCATGCAGGTAACAGCCCAATATACAACCTACTGCACAACCAGGACTTCTTTCTCTTCCTATAGTGTACCAGCAAACAAAATCAGGCCTTTTTTTCCTTCTGTAAACACAAACGGTTCCCTTGATCGGGAAGTTTTACCCTAATGGCTAATCACAGGTGAGCTTGCCAGACCTCTCTCAGGAGCTTCAGCCGTGAAACGCAGTTCTGGACACATCTTTTTCAAATGAAACTATGGCTAGGGCAGACAAAGGCCTTGCACGGTCACAAGAAAGAATCTGATAGCATTTCTTTCATCACCGTTACCTTTTGTGTTTTAAAGAGGAACAGGAATCCCTCGGGTCAGGGAGAGGGCATGATGAAGCAAGATCCTGGAAGTATCCACAAGCGCTCCTGACAACTTATCACAAGCCGCTGGGGGGAGGCGCGGGACTAGGTTCCCCGCCTCTCAGCTCGTTCACCTCACTGTGTCTTGCAGCAGGCACCAGCAGGTGCTCCTTAGGACAAGCAGGGGCAAAGTTTAACTTCAACTCAGACCTTCAGAGCAGCCCACAGTGCGCTGGTTTACTTAAGAAGAAGGAAAAAAAGAGGTGAGGTAGACCAGTTCCCATCAAGTTGACGGGCTCATGGTGACTCTATGTATGTCAGAGTACAACTGCGCTCTGTGGGGGTTTCAGTGGCTGATTTGGGGTGCGGGGGGAGCGGGGAGAGAGAAGGAGGTGGATTGCCAGGTCTGTCTTCTGAGAGGACTCGAACCTTCCATGTTTCAGTGATTAGTCACGCTTGTTAACTATTTGCACCACCCCGGACTCTCAAGGCCGACACAGCTGTCACTGACTGATTAGGATAGGCCAACCCTTCCTCGCCCTGCACTTCAAGTTATCAGCCCTCGTGGAAAACCACTGAGCAGGCTGACGAGGTGGATCGGGAGAAGAAGGCAGGCCCTTCAG